TATTAAATATCTGTGTGACACAATACGAACCAAAGATCAAATCCCTCCGTAAGTAAGGTGGCGGTTTAAGAGATGGGAAAGCTCTATTCCATTACCTTAAGGTGTGGCATCTCTGAATCCAGTCATCCTCAGATGCCAAACCTTCTCTGTTAGATATATCCTGTTTGAGACAATAGGAAAGTAAGCATCACTCTGAGCCCTACAACTTTATATTCAAGCTTACACAACAAGAAGATGATGATATTTTATACACCCACAAGATGTCTAAGGAACTTGAAATCCCCAGCAAGAACAGCTGTCAACAACCGAGTCGCCTCCACCTTCAAAATTACAATTTAGGTTTCAGAGAGAGAGAGAGAAAGAGAGGGGGCATAAATGTAGAGGCACAGTATGAAGTGCTCAACATTTTTTGTATAAAAAAGTTGATTATAAAAAAGTGCTCACCATTTTGAGATGCATGCAATCGCGTAGAATCAAGACTTCCAGCAGATTCCCACCTGTGCTGCTTCCAAGGTTCCTGAAAAATATGAAGTTTCATTAATTCTATGATACAGAAACTTAATAAAAAGTCACCTCTATTAAAGATAACTGACCTTAAAAATGATCCGGTGATCGAGTAGGAAGTCGAAAAATCAACATACTTTAATTTCTTAAATCCCTGAACAAGTACCCAGATATTAGATTCCAGTCTGACAGAACGCAGTTATTTCACCAAAAAATTGTTGTAAAATGCATTACTCCTCCCAGTCCTTTACTGAATGTGTAATAACTCATGTAGCAATTCTATCTACATATTGTTAGAAATCTACTATAGCACAAAACAATATAAGACTTGAGGGTATTTTTTCTTAAAATTCCCGAGACATACCTTAAGAAGTATACGAACTTTATAATCATGTAACTTAAACCCTCTGAGGGCCAATGATGTTAGATGAGGGCAATTGTTCACCAGATCAACACAAGTTGGTGATTTCAAACTGTCATCTCTACCTGAGATTTGTCAAACATGAGTAAGAAAATATTTTATGAGAACATTAGGTGGGGTTCCTCATGAAGAAGTGCAATACCTGATTTTGAAGATTCAAAGAACAGACGCTCTATTGATTGACAGTTTGCACTCACTGACAGCAGTGTTTGCCTCAATTCAACATGACTGAAGATTGCACAAAATCAAGAATCTCGTAGTGTAATCCAACAAACAAGAATGCAAAACATCAAAAACTGAACTTACAGGCCAACAATCTCCAAATCAGCAAGAAATGGGCAAGCACCTAGTGCCCCAGAGAGTGACGTATTATCCATTCTTTCAATATTGTAAAGGTGCAACCTTCTCACAAGAATCCTTACAACAAGCAAAAGAAAGTATAAGTTAAACAAGTAAGTCGCCCGAACAAAATTTTCCAAAGTCTTAAAATTCAAGCATACCCTGGAGCACCATTGTTCGCGCCTAAAGGGCTTAAACAGGACCTACTAAGAATCGATGACTCCTTTCCTTGTCGGGATCTCTTATCATTCCATGAAAAGTTGACATCTACAGAATTCCTGATGGTATAAACTAATGGTTGACAAGATCCAATTGGCGTAGTTGGGCCTGGAACTACCCCAAGCTTAAGAGACCTGAATTTTCAATTGCACATAAGAGGGGAAAATTTTATAAAAATGAGACTATCATGTGCTAGTGCAACATCAAATTAGCGTTAAAATGAGGAAGCATAAAGTACGAAATTAGAACTGTAAACTACAGAGATTCAAAGTTTTCACTTGACACAAATGCATAAGTAGACTCTTAAGATTGAAAGTTTTTGTTGGGTCAAAAACTCTTACTGGAGAGATTTCCCTGCTCGGTGAATCATTGTGGAAACTACCGCATTGTTAACTTTTGGGACAACTGTTGTCAAGTCAATATTGGCGTAGCAAGAGGAATCCATGGCACACTTATTAAACATTGAACAAGTAGCAGCAGCATAGCATAGGCTTTGTGTATCAAGCATGGAAAAGACCTGCATGTCAGCATACCCTCAGATAATGTATGCATTTCCTATCTAAATTCCAACAAATAAAGTAGTTCTGGCATGCAAAAAGTTGGAGCTAAGGCCATTTCTGGATGAGGGATTTGCAAGTAGAAGTGTATTTGGGCCAGATCAGTTATAAATGAACTAGAAACGTCAGATACCGGTTTTGAAATGCATTACATGATCATTACAAGTACATAAAGAAGGGATTTTAAAATGACTCATTTCATCCCTATTAGTGTATTGTAAGATGTATCTACTCATTTCTAATCCCCCCATCTAATATTTTGTAGTGCATTTCTAACTAATTAAGCCTAAATCCCTCATCCGAACATAACCTACAGATTGATATATAAACAGAATAAATGAGAAAAAAAGGGCCTCGAGGCCAATGCAAATGATAATTTCGGTTTCGATTTGATGGGGCACACACTAATCACTAATAATCGCGTATGAATTATGGAATCAAATCAATAATATCAGTGATCAGGCAATTAAACACAACCCACCAATGCAAATCAACCAAAATGCAACTATCAAATCTTCAATTTCACATGCCCCAAAACGAAAATCAATAAAACAATACAGCTTTCCTATTCAAATCGATCGCCAAAATCCGATCAAATTACGCAATCAACCCGCCGGATTCGCATTCAATTCAGCTCGATTTCGATTCTGCGTACCTTGATAGTGAGGTCCGGAGGGAGAACCCAGGCGAGCGAGTTGTGCTTGGAGGCGCGCTTCCTGGCGGAGCGCTTGGCGGCCTCGAGGAGGACGGAGCCCAATTGGAGGGCGCGATCGATGAGCTTGGTCTGATCGGCGTCGGAGGCCCGTGACTCGAGGAGGCGCTCGAAGGAGAGGTCGATGGCGAAGGGCGGGGAGTCGGAGAACTCGAGAAATGTGTCGAGGAGGCGGTCACGATCGAGCTGGTTGAGGTTTGGGGTTCTAGGGTTTTGGGAGGGGCAGGGTCGCTTCGCCATGGATGACGGGCTGTGCAGCAGGGTATCCATAGCGGGTGGTTTATCGAAGCCGAAGTGGTTTTTTGAGGTGGGAGATACGGAGTGGGCGTGGTTTGCTGACACGTGTTTGTATTTGCGTGAGTTTGGAAGGTTTTTTGGACTTGGATTGTCCCTCCGCATGCCACCTTTCTCATTCCCTCTCATATTCTTATATCTTATATTCTTATATTCTGTGATCGCGTTTAAATCACGTCAATATTTTATATTAATTTTTTTATAAAAATAATAAGACAAAAAGTAATGAGAATATAAAATGTTGACATAGCTTAACCGTGACCACAAAAATAAGAGAGTATAGGAGGGTATGAGATGGAGATGGCAAACAATCCAAGTCCAAGTTTTTTGCCCGGTGAGGTTATCGGAGCCCATATACGACATGGGTGCAACATAACTGCACCAAATGCTTTTGTTCTTTTCCTTTTTCATCTCTAGATTCACTCCCATCAATCATTCTAACATCAAAAAACAATGACGTCATGTCGATTTCACACTGTTGTGTAAAAAATTTAAAATATATGACAATGGACAATTATTTTAAAATATTTAAGGTATTGTTTACTTATTTGAAACGGTCAAAAATTTTGAGTAAAAAAAAAGTAAGAACAAAGGAGAATTAGATCAACTAAACATGCTTGGAGTTAAGAATTGTAGTAATTCAAATTGCGTCGGGTTATAGTGCAAATTTTGCTTCATGAAATAAAAGAACCATGCAGTCACATGTAGAACAAAGAATCATGCCATCAGTTGCCAAATTGAACAGAAAACCTTTATAATTAACTAGTATATGGGCACACACAAAGTGTGTGAGAAAATTTTTTATTTTTGTTTTTGAAATAGAAGGAGAGAGGAAGGGAGTGATAGAGAATGTAGGAGTGGGAAGTTTTTTTTTTTTTTTAATTAAAGATATGTTAGGATCGCATGTAGGTGAGGCTTTGAAAAAAAAAACAAAATTTGGTTGTGTGAAATTACATTTCTGCCTCATATTTCTTATTCATGTTCTGTTTTAATTAGAGAGATAAACTGGTAATTTCATAGGATTTTAGTTTACCGTGAATGTTTTATTAATTAGTAGAGATACACGAAAAACGGTTATTCAAAGTAAATAAAAAATAGGTTTGCAGAGAAAAATAAATTCATAAAAAAAAAAAGGTATCCTTGAATATTTAGTAAATTATTTTAGGTCTCCAAAAAATGTGTAAATAAATTGAGTGTGGTGTCCATGGACAAAACTTTGTTGTACAAATAACAAATTTAAAGTTTTTAGTTTAACTTAAAATTTTAAAAGTGTGCAAGAAGCCCAATATTAAAGGATATTACATGCCGGAAGGCCCAAAATAACTAAAGGGAGCAATATGCAACATGAGTAAACCCAACTTCACCATTATAAGACACTTTAATTCATATATTATAGAAATTAAATATGTTTTAATTTGATTTTAAAACATTATTAAAATTTTTATATAACAATATTTTACTCTAAAGGACTAGAAATGAGCCGGCAAGTCACTGACTAGATATCAAATTCAATATAATACATTACCAGTAAACCGTAACACTAGTTGATAAGGTTGATTATATTCAACACTCACTTTCTTGCATTTGGGCAAACCACATACATAGTTCATAACACACTCTACGTTCTTTCTCAATGGATCACAAACAATGATAAAAAAAAAATGCTTTAAAAGCAGTGATAGCTTGTCATTCACAAGAATGTGTGCCAAGAACACAGCCTGACACACTAAATGTTATAATACAAGTGGTTTGAATTTTTTTTTTTCAAGTGTCTAACCACTTGTATTATGACATGTAATATGCCGTGTTCCTGACACATTGAAAAATCTCTTGTCATTCACACCTAAGCATATGAGATGTTATGATTAATTAGTTTTCATATTTATACACACCGAATTTTGGTACACGTATTGAAAAATGCATAAATCAATAACGAAAATAAAGAGAATAGTGCAAGAGGAGAAAACGGGAGTGAAAATCACTACCCTTGAATTATGTTGATACAAAATAAGAGAGCAACACAAAAACATAACTTGCATTTCAAGTATATGTAAAACCCCCCCCCAAAAAAATAAAAATAAAAATAAAACATAACTTCTATTCATTCTTCCAAGCATGCAAGATCAGTGAAAACCCAAAATCCTGCAACTGGTTATCTCTCAACTCCTGAGAGGAGGATGACCAACTCAACACAGAAGGATCCAGAACTGGCAAACCAGTCCACAACTTCTTGCTTTCATCTGCAGCAACATTGAGGCAAGTTTGGAACATGAAAACTGCATCTCCCATTGAATTCCCAAACAGCCAATTGTGCACATCCCAAAACACCTCAACTCTCATCCCATCTACCACAATTGTGTGATTGCCTCTGAACTTCCAGTTCAACCTCTTGACCTGCATCGGGAAATTCGGTTTAGGTCAATAAATAATCTCATAATTCGGGTTTTTGTAACACGTTACATCATTTGTAACGCATGAAATAGTGTTGATTGACTGAACCCTAATTTTGAGAATGTACCTGCAACACAGTCTTGCTGTCAATGCTGATTACAAGGTATGGCTCATGGAGGCCCCCGGCAGTTTCACACTCAATTTTCACGTCATGGGTTTTGCCCAAATCACAGAACTGTGCCTTTGCTCCATAAATTTTTTTCCCAAAAATGTGCTCTCTTTTCGCTATGAATTCGGCTTTGGATTTGGATTTGGATTTGGACTTGGAATTGGACTCAGCAGGGCTTTTGAAATCCTCCCTCTTCAAGTCCCCAAGAAACAGAACCATTTCTTGATCAAACATAAGAGCTAGACAAAACTTCTCCAATGGCTCAGGTCCTGAACCAAATTTGGCATTTGTTAAATCCCACAAGATGTCGATTTTCGTAGAGTCCACCTCCAAATTCTTCAACCCTTTCCTCTTGGAGAAAATCCATGGCTTAATCTCAACTCTGCAGAGGCAATGACCGGCTGCATCATCGATTTCGATGGCGAGGCTTTGCCCCATCAGATTCTTGGTCCATGTCACAGTGATCAAACACAATCTGCCCTTTAATTTGCATTGGTAGACGCAGGATACCAAGTTCTGGGCAGTTTTTGTGGCTCTCGACGAGGAAGATGATGACGAAAAATCCGCAATCTGAACCCCATTTTCCCCAAAACAAGAAGGGAAGTCCCTCATCGTAAGCATCAATCAACAAAAAAATGACAACTTGCAGACGTGTGTTATGCCAGTTCGCCAGGTAGCGTGTCTGCTCTTTTGAACGCAGTACAAACTCCCTCCCGGTAAACTAAAGCTGTTTAGAATCTCGCCTTTTGTCGAGTAAACAAAGATGGCTGATTTATTTCTGATTCTTTCGAGTTCTGCCAAGAATTTGAGGTGAAAAGAAAGAATGCAGCCGGCAGAGAACTGGGTTACACAGAAAAAATGACTCCACCAATCAACATGGATGACAAATTATGTTAATCAACCGAGTCTGAATGCATGCAACTTGAGGTGAAAAGAAAGAATGCAGGCAGCAGAAAATTGGGTTGCAAAGATAAACGGACACCTACCTCAGAAAATTCAATTTTGATACGAACCTAAGCGCCCATCATTCAAATTTTCCAACTTGCAGCTTCAGAAAGCTTCCATTTTTTCCTCTGGAACCTTTTGAGGTCCAGAAAAAGACCCAGGATTTCGATAAGAATTTGAAAAACTGAATTGATAGAGAGAGATGAAGTCACATGGGGAGAGATTAGAGAGAGAGAGAAAAATGGAAAAAGAAAGGGGGTTTAAAAATTGCAAAAGGGTTTGGATTTTGCTGGGAAAAGGTTGGGATTGCACAAATGACCAAAGAAAAAGGGTCTTTTTCATCCATGGGCAATTGGGCACTGTTCCCTTTAACTGACTTTACACATGCATTGCATTTTTGGAGCTGAAAATACAAAATTCGGATCTTCACCGGATCCTTTTTGTGAGGATGTGAATTATAACCGTTCATGTACATTATACGGGTCAGAAATTTTTTTAAATATTTTTATTTAAAAATATAAACAGTACTTGATAAAAACTGATCGTAAGACATACAATGAACGGACACGATTTACTAATCTTCAAGATCCTCACCAAAGGAATCCAGGGAGGATCCTGTTGGGAAAATATAAACAACGGATACGCGAAACGCAAACTTGACTTAGAGTAGCGTGTTCATTTCGTTGTTTTCAAGTTTGGAAAACAAACACACCAACACTTGAAATTTTCGTCAGCATGGAGTGTTTTTTTTTGGGGGGGGGGGGTGATAAATTCAGCAATGCCTCACAACCTTATGATTTTGTTTTAGTCTGTGTTCACAACAATTTGGTTACGAATCTTGTAATCTTTAAAAACGTGCCAATTTTCAATCTATCGTATGAGGTATCACACTTTTTTCTTGCTTTATCCACTAATAGATAAAAATAACTCTTAATTTAACGAAAAAGTTAAGGGATTTGACTATAGAGGGCAAATTGGTTGTCATCTTTGTCAAGTGAGACAAAGAAAGTTTCTTTAGCAGAAATACAACAAAATCAAAAGTTGTTTTGTTAAAGTGAAAAAAAAAGAGGGAAGAGACAACATACTGCTATATTTACGTGCTTAACTTGATGTGATGAATTAGTTATGCCTAACATTTTAATTATTTGGTTTCAATTTGTTGTCACCATCCATGATTTCAAATAGTAAAAAGCATAATCATAGGCTTTTTTTTTTTTTTTTTTTTTTTAGTTTTACAATTTATTCTTATTTCCCGTTGTGTGTACGATTTTCCTTGTATCTTGAGTATGGATTTAGGTGTCAACAAGAATATAGGCTTGTTTAAAAAATGCTTCTAAAATAACTTAAAGAGTTTTTAAAGAAAATGTTTTTTTATTTCAAAATCACTTAAACTATTTTTCCAGATTCACTTACATATTTATTAAGAATTGATTCCAAAAATATTTTCACAAAAAACACTTTCAGTTATTTTGAAAGTACTTCCAAACGAGTCTTACATCTCTACGTTTTTGTAGCACTTATCACATATTATAAGAAGACAAATATGTATCTCGTCACAATATGCTACGTAGCAATCTCTCCATATTTTGGTGTTTTATAAGAATAACTAATGCCTACTTAAAAGCACTAGGGGGGGAGGAAAATGAAGGGTCTAGGTTGGGGCATGGGAATGAATTTGTAGGCAAGATTGCCCTTGACCGAAACCACTCATTAGTTGTCATAGGAGACCACAAGCCTTCCCTATTGCGGGGAAATGGATACTCTCCGCATCTCTTTCCACTTAATTCGGGATCCAGATCGTTGAAATTTGATTCAGTAGTTACAAACAAGGAATTCTTTTTAAAAGTGATAATAACTGTAGTCATTAGATAAATTTCAATGGCGTGAATCCCGGACTAGGTAGATTAGATGGAAAGGGATCCAAAGAAGATCCCCTTCCCCATTGCGGTGCAAAAACAGCATATTTTAATTTAGACCCATAGTTACCATTTGCTTTTTGGGTAGTAATTTAAGCCAAGGATTACACACTCCACTCAACTCTCTTTTTTTTCTCTTTTAGGTAGGCATTTTGGTTGGTAGGAAAAGAAGAGGTTCATTTTATAATCATAATAATTATGGATGTTGTGGAAGTGATTAACTTGGTTTAACACAATAAATTGTAGCACCAACAGTTAAGATGATTTACTCATACATTTGAGAGGCTTGACGCCCCTTCTTGAGTCATGACACATGTTCTGTTAAAAGATGGGTTGATGACATGGTATGGTGTCAGTAACGCGTCACTTGACCAATATGTCTAAAGTAATTTAGTTTCTGGTTAGTTAAAGAAGATTTCATACTCAACTCACAGTAACAAGATGACGACATTTGAATGTCGTTATCTGGATAAATATGAAAATGAAAGGGTTTGTTGATGACTTGGTGAAGGGTTTGCCCCACCTTGAACTAACTGATTGGACTAACATAGTCTATATAAGTCTAGATTAGAAGAAATTTTTTAGTGGCTAGAACACGGTTCGTAATACCAAGTGTTGTCATAATACAATTGGTTGGAATTTTTTCTTTAAGTTTCTAACTAGTTGTATTATTACATGTAACGTTTTAGGCCTTATTACTGGCACACTAAAAATCTCTCCTAAATTAGGGATGGACCTACAAATAAGTTGGTTAAAAAATGATAGACCATTCAAGAAAATTATTAAGATGTTGTGTGCACTCATTTTACTATCTTACTTAAGAGAGCAGCAATTTTTATGAAAAAAAGTTGATCATTCTCCCTCTCTCTTTCTTTCTATAGAGCATGCGTGATGAAAAGGAATTAAGGACTTACTGTATGTAATCAAGGCAATTTAGTACCTTTCTTTTACCTTTACTGGTTCAATGAATGTGCATCCACTTTTGAGATCCCAGCTGGATGCATCGAGTTCGGATTTCTAGAGATGGGGTTCTGGATCCGAACTCGACGATTCAGGTTTGGGTTTGGAAACCCCAGGCATCGCGTCCTGTGACTAGATTGCGGTGCATATTTGTTGACGTAGAGTTGCGAACGAGAGGAAGGGGAAAAAATGTAACCCTATTGGTGAGAATGAATTGGGTGACGGTATACGTTGGATAGATCCAAGGTTCGAAACCTAACGATGTAACCCTATTGGTGAGCGTTCGGAACGTGAAAAATGTAACCCTATTGGTGAGCGATCACCCCGAAAACCTTCGCTTGCTTGGAGGCATCTGAAGGCTCGCACAATTGGGTGACGGTAGACGTAGGTTAGGTAAACATATTCAAGCTTGTATTTTGCTTTAACCTATTGACCACATCACGATTCATGAGCATCCCGGCAAAGTTACATACACGAAACTCTTAGTCACCTTCGATTCAACCAGTAAATTAGGAGTACAAACCGTCAAAGAAATCCGACTGCAACACTTCTGCATTCGCAAAGGTCTCCGGTGTCGTTTAAATACAGAGGTGTTGTTTCCAAATTTGCTCACACCAACATTGTTACATTAAAGCTTTAATGCTATCCAGGAACGGTGACTAGTCATATTTATCTCCACCAGAGTGTGTGTTTTGTCCATCATTGAAGTCCCAGTTGGAATGCTTGAAACTCTGTCCACCCGATGCTGTAGGACAAGCTTCCGGCTTTTAAATTCTCTGGGTTCCCCAACTTCAGATAGGTTTGATATTCGCCAGATCCTAAGTTACAACTGCATACAATTGAGATAAACAAAGTGAACACCTATTACATATGATCAAGAGAAAAAGATAGCGCATCGGACGTAAAAATATGTCAAGAATTTGGGTTCTGGAGCTATTCTTTGAAAGAGGGTTCATATCAACACGATTTCTTGATAGAGCAAGAAATTTCAAGGAGAAACCTAATATGATATGATATGATATGATTTTTTTTTTTCATTTGAAAATAATACATAAAAAAGAAGAGAGGTAAACAGCACAAACGTCTTCCTTGAAAAAAAAACAGCACAAACTTCAAAACAAACCTAACCTTCCACCTCAACTCTGCAAACGAAAAGGGGAGAAACTAAAAGAATATTTCCCAGCTCCCGGAAGGGGTGGATAACTGTGGCTTGCCACCAATTGTTCCCCTTAAAAAAAAAAAAAAAAAAAAACCCCTAAAAGAAGATTCAAAGACCGGAAAGTCAAAGTTATATGAAAGGAAAGCATAGAAACCATAGTAAGCTCCATGAAAATATGAACTCCAAAACACCAATAACCCACAGACCACGCTGCAAAAAACATATACTTCTTTGCGCTGAAGCCAAACTTTCATGGCAACTTATGTCTACTACAGCAGAAAAGAGACACCCTCAAAGAAACACTATTACTATTAGGTGTCCCTAATTGGAAGTACATATACAAATTACCAGCGACACATATTTTCTGATATACCTATAAAATGTCCCTAATCGAGAGTACCGATACTTGGCATCTCATCACAAGTACTTAGAGCATCTTTAATGGGAGTCCCTGTTTAAGGACTCCCACCACCACCCTTGAGTACTCATTTAAAGACTTAAAGGGAATCGTTGTGTCCCTAAAGGAATATTACCTCTAATGGGAGAGTCCTCATAGTAGAATATCTAAATTTGAGTTTTTTTTACAATTTTATGTGATAGTTTGATTAGGTGCATATTTTTTTAATTAATTTAACATTACATTCTCATAATATATTTTTTTGAACATTTTAACCAAAAATAAAATAAAAAATCAAATTCTGACACCAATTTTTCTTCTTCACAAAAACGTAACTAGAATGAGTGAATTGAGTACGACGAGTGAACTAAGTATAAGAGATGAAGTTGTGGTAAGTTTTAGTTAGATAATTTGGTATTTATAAGAATGATGAGAGAACAACACGAGAGAGTAGCCCAAATTGAAATTGTTTTTTTAGGTTTCTCCTCTTCCAAGAAAGTTTTCTGCATCCACAAGGGTTCGAAACCGAGACCACTTGCTTAAGCGAAGCAATATGAAAAGAGTAAAAAAAATTGGAAACCAACATGAGAGAGTAACCTAAATTAAAACGGTTATTTAATTGGAACCGTTGATCTTTCAATGGTAAAAGAATCTAAAAAGCAAGAATCAATATGGACACTCCATTGAAACGATTGAAAAGAAAGAAAGAAAAGACAAGGCCATGTGACAGGGACCCATGCCTACTTTTTCACTTAAATTGTTCTATTGGGTTCACCATTTTAGTCCCTATATGTGGGTACATATACCAAATATCCGGCAAGTCTCTATACTTTAGGGACTCACTTTCCGATCCATTAGAGATTCATTTTGTCCTTATATTTGTTGTATGCTCATTTTATACGTTGATTGTCTCTATATAGGGACTCCACTGAAAATGCTCTTATACCAACTACATATATTCCGATATACCTATTACGAATAACATGTCCGTAATTGTAAGTACCTATCAACGTCCGATATGTTGAGCTTTCTAGGCCGCCTCCGTCTCATTCACCAGCAAAACAAAAATTTGAACAGATATGCACTCATAACTCAGTGATCCCATTTTTAGTACTCAAATCCCCCCAGTTGTGTCATGACCCCAAGTAAGCATATTCAAGCTTGTATTTTTCTTTAACCTATTGACCATATCACGATTCATGAGCATCCAAGCAAAGTTACTTACACGAAACTCTCAGTCACCCTCGATTCAACCAGAAAATTAGGAGTACAAACCGTCAAAGAAATCCGACTGCATCAGTTGTGCATTCGCAAAAGTCTCCGGTGTCGTTTAAATACAGAGGTGTTGTTTCCAAATTTGCTCACATCAACATTGTTACATTAAAGCTTTAATGCTATCCAGGAACGGTGACTAGTCATATTTATCTCCACCAGAGTGTGTTTTGTCCATCATTGAAGTTCCAGTTGAAATGCTCGAAACTCTGTCCACCCGATGCTGTAGGAACGATGCTTGTCACACAAGAAACTTGTGATTCCAACAGTGAGCTTCCGGCTTTTAAATTCTCTGGGTTCCCCAACTTCAGATAGGTTTGATTTTTGCCACACCCTAAGTTCCAACTGCATACAGATGAGATAAACAGGTGAAAACCTAGTACGTATTGGTCAAGAGGGAAAGAAAGCATCGGATGTAAAAACATGCCAAGAATTCGGGTTCCGGACCTATTTTTTGAAAAAAGGGCTCATATCAACACGAGTTCTTGATAGAGCACGTAATTTCAAGGAGAAACCTAAAATGATATGATATGATATGATTTTCTTTTCATTTGAAAAAAGTACATTAAAAAAAAAAGAAAAAAAAAAAGAGGTAAACAGCACAAACATCTTCCTTGAAAAAAATAGCATAAACGTCAACACCAACCAACACTTCCCCCTCAACTATGCAAACGAAAAGGGGGAAAATAAAAGAACATTCAAAGAACAGAAAGTCAAATTTATATGAAAGAAAAGCATAGAAACCGTAGTAAGCTCCATGAAAATATGAACTCCAACAGCCATGCTGCAAAAAACTTAACAGTTCTTTACACTGAAACAAAACTTTCATGGCAACTTGTGTATACTAGAGCAGAAAGACGCACCAAAAACCACCACTCTTACATGTCCCTAATTGGAAGTACTTAAACAAATGACCAGCGACATATATTCTGATATACCTATAAAATGTCCCTAATTGAAAGTACCGATACTTGGAATCCAATTAGGAAGTACTTGTACATATGACCAACCACATATATTCCGATATTACCTATTTCATGTCCGTAATTGTAAGTACCTATCTATACCTATATTCCGTCTCAGTCAACAAGGAAACAAAAATTTAAACAGATATCTACTCCTAGTTCAGTGATTGCATTTTTAGTACTGAAATCCCCCCAGTTCAATTCTTCCTCATGCACGACTTACCAAATTCAAAAAGCGAAGTACAAGCTCCTTTATAAACATTTAAATTCTCTGCCATCACACGAAAATCTACACAGAACTCCAACAAGACGTGGCAAGTAGTCATCATTTTCTATATACATTAGATCTAACAAACTCCAACAAGATGAAGGCAATGAAAACAAATAAGCAACATTCCGAAACTCAAAACCATCAACCACAAGAGTGACTGTTTAGAATCTGTAGATTCAACTTCTCGCGGCAGCGAACAATGGAGTTTTGCAGGGATTGAGAACTGAGAATGCAATCACTAGCTTGGTTGATTTCCACAATTTGATATCTAATGCATTAAAAAGATAATATCTTTAAGCACCGAAATACTAGATGCTAACAAAACAAAGCATCCAATTCAATACTGCTCAACATCAACTAGTAACATACATGACATAATTCATGAAATAGTGAAAAAGAAGTAACATCTCAGGTAAAAGTAAACATACTTGAAACTATGTATCAGCAAATTCAATCTCTTTTTCCTTCCCCGAAAATGGGTCGTGAGTAGGCCCGACATCCTGCCCGATATGGCGCTGAACCAGTCGCTGCAAATCCGCCATAACCTTGTGCTCGCGCTTCGCCTTCTCCTCGTAGTTGAACATGGCCAAAGCCCGCTTATCCTCAGCACTGTAAACCTGGTTTTCCTTCCTAATACGAATGGCATTCATTCTCTGGTGCCTACTACCACTCATTACGTACCCAAGGTTCTCAAACTTCTGAATCTCATCAGCCGAAAGACCCACTTCTCCTCTCCGCGGAATACGCTTCCCCTGCTGAACATATTGTGCAATGGCATCACCTTCACCAGGCCTAAGAGCCCCACCATAACTAATATGCCCTTCAGCTCTAGGCAACGGCATTGGCCCAACCACTGGTTCATCGTCCAGTGACAGCATCTTCTGAGCTTCGAAAATCTCCTTAAACTTCAATGCCTCCGCATTACTCTCATCCTTCATCACCTCCTCTTCCACTAAAGCAGCAGCCTTGGCATCAACCTCAGAATCCAAACCCTTCTCCTCCGAATCCGATTTCTCACTCTCCATTTCAGTTTCCGACTCTTTCTTCTTACTCCTACTGCGAGACTTTCGCTGTTTCTTCTTCTTCTTTAAATCTGAACCCTCACTTTCACTGTCTTCGCTCTCATCGGACTCGCTACTGCTACCATGCCTGCTCTTCCTCTTTCTTCTCCTTTCTCTTCTGCTCCTGCTTCTCTTACTCCTACTTTTTGACTTCTTTCTCCGTCTCCGATCCTCCTCTTCATCCGATTCATAGTCGCTTTCGCTCTCGCTCTCGCTCTCCGATTCGCTGTCACTATACTTCGATTTCCTACTCCTACGCTTTGAACCCGAACTCTTCTTCCTCCCCCTCGACCTCAAATCCTCCGATTCCAAATCCGATTCAGATTCGGACTCAGATTTCTCCTTCTCATTCTTCTTGTCCTTCGGTTCCATCTTCTCCTCCTCGCCATACCGTTCCAGAATCTCATCAGCCTTGCCCACCAATTCGAACTCATCGTTCTCAAACCTAGGCGGGCTGGGCGTCAATTCCCAAATACAAAACTTCCCTGATTTCCTCATCTTCTGCCGCTTGAGCCTTCTGTATTCCTCGAAGCTCAGCCCCTTCAGCTCGTCATCGGACTCCTCCGACTCTGACCGCCTCCCCCGGTCCATATTCCCTCCCCGCCCGAATTTCTTCGGCAAAGAGTCCGGCCCCCCATTAGCCCTAGGGCTTCTTCTAGGGTTTGGGTAATCAGGCGTGCCCGACCGATTTCGGTGGCGTCGGTCGTAGTCCTCATAGCTGGGGCTCCGACGCCGGGCCAAAGAGTCTGGGCCTCCTCTGTTGCCCCTAGGGCTTCGTCTGGGTGGCGAGCCCGATGGGTTTCGGTGGCCGCGATTGTCGTAGCTTTCGTAGCTGGGGCTGCGACGCTGGTAGCGGTTGTCGCCGGAGGAGTCGGAGTGCCGCGGGTATCGCCCGTTCTCGTGATCGGAACGGCGTCGTCTGTCGGGGATGTGGATGGTGGATGATGGCCTCCCCATCAGAGACTTTGAAGAGGTTCGGTAATGAAATTTCCGTTTTGGATACATCTGGCACTTGAGTCTAATATTAGTAAAAACATCTTGGGCTGGGCTTTTTTTGGTAAGTTTATGGGCCTAAAAACCCGACTTGTGATTATTCGCCGGCCCAAACATTTCAGAAGATGGGCTCTACCACTATATAAAAGTTGCATAGTCCAATTCCGAAACCCTAAAAACCTCTCATCGCCTCCTCCTCCGCAAACGCGCAAACCTCTCGCACAGACAGTCCCAACCGAATAGAGAGCGGAGGCGCAGAGAGAGAGGAGAGAGACAACCATGGCGGATACCAAGGCGGTGACGATTCGTACGAGGAAGTTCATGACCAACCGCCTTCTCTCCAGAAAGCAATTCGTGAGTCTTCTATCTTATACTAGTGTACTTTCCCTGTTTGGTCAACTAGAAAATGCAGGAAAACGGGTTAGAAATTACGCAGATGTGTATTTTTTTCACCTGTTTGGCTGATTTTACGTGTGTTTTTGTGTTGATGCAGGTCATCGACGTTCTGCACCCTGGTCGACCCAATGTCTCAAAGGTTTGGTTTCTTTCTTCGAGCTTTCTGGTTCTTTCAATGGGGATTTGATTCTGTTTATTTGATGTTATTGCACTAGCTAATAGGAAATGATGAAATTTTAAATCATGGGTTTTTTCAGTGGGGATTTGATTCTGTTTATTTGATGTTTTTGAACTAGATCTATTTCTTTTATGGATTTTATGTTTATGTAAGGTAGGTAGATTGCTTCTCTTTCTTTTTTTTTTTGGTTGTGAAATTAAATTCATTGGAGAGATGGTGCAAACAAGTGTTGATCGAAATGGGTTTCTGTTTCTTTTTCATAATGAAGGCAGAGCTGAAGGAGAAACTTGCGAGGTTGTACGAGGTGAGGGACCCAAATTCCATCTTCGTATTCAAGTTCCGCACCCATTTTGGAGGGGGGAAGTCCACTGGTTTCGGTTTGATTTATGATACCGTAGAGAATGCCAAGAAGTACGAGCCCAAGTACAGGCTGATCAGGGTAACTTATCGTCTTCACCCATCCCATTTTGTTACTTGCAAGTATTGTCATATAGCATGTATGTGTGTTTAACCTCAGAAGTCATTCACAATGTGCATTAAATGCATCTTTATACTTATCTGGTATTGGCGGTTCCCTGTTACGGTGTTGGATTTGGGCAAATCCAATAGGTATTGGGGTCGAAACTGGCAGAAAGAGAGATTAAGAGAGAGAGATATGATCTTAAAATAACAATTCTCGCATATGAGCTTGATACAAAATCCCTGTGAGGCCATTCATTAACTGTTGGGGGAGGTGCATCTGTCTGTTTAAGTCCGCTGATTTAGTCAGGATCAATTCCTTATCATGGTTTTAAGAATGGGTTCATACTTGATATTGTTGAGATATTTCTACTATTCTTTTATCGGAGTACTAATCTGACAACTGCTTGTTAGAAAGCGGGTTTTGCAATTCCTTTTCTTGAGTTATGATACTATGTAGTTTCACAGTCTATAGGCAGCTTTCACTCAAAGAATCAGTCATTAGTTTGGCATGAAATACATATGTCTCTCGTTCCACACACACACACATGTTTGTCTATTTCCCTCTCAAACATGGCTACTTGTGCAGAATGGACTAGATACAAAGGTTGAAAAATCAAGGAAACAACTCAAGGAAAGGAAGAACAGAGCCAAGAAGATTCGTGGAGTTAAGAAGGTAACAATACTGTTATTGTTTTGTCCTGGTTAGTGTTAGTAAACTGTGATGGTGGTAGGGTCAGGGATGGTGTTTTTACCTTAATCAGTGGGTACCTTGGAAACACTGGTACTCAAACCTTTTGATTGTTTTCTTCTCGAAGTTTTACCCTGAACTTTTCTTGAGTTGGTTTAACGTTTTCAAATGTTATATGTGCAGACAAAGGCCGGTGATGCTGCCAAGGCAAAGAAGAAATGAGCTTCTGCATGTTTTGGGATCGTATGTGTTCGCAGGAAGGTTCCGTGTCATCAGCCTTGCTGCATCTTGTTATTTTCTTTTGTTAGCGAAGCATGAAATTTTGGATGTTTTAAGTTTATCAAAAACGTTACGATGTTTTAGTGAGTTTGCGGAATGTTATGTATGTTCTAACTATTCATTAAGGAAATTTGAAACTTCACCCTACCATGTTTCGACTTATGAATGACATCGAACTTTTACTCGGAAAATTCTCAATTCGCATGTTTATTTACTTGGAACGCGGAAAATGGAGTCGAGAAGTTAAGAATACGGGAGAGAATGAATTTGAATAGGATCAGTTGTTCCTCCTAGTCAACATAATTCTTTGTTTCCAGTGTTTTCAATTTTAGTACCATAACATGAAGTAAGTCTGGGAATTAGAATGCCCAATTCCTTGCCACTCACCCAACAAACCTTGCAAAGGAAAGGAAATCCTCTTTTTCTAGGCGGGAAAGGTTGAGATGCAAAATATTGTTCAAGTTTATGATAAGTTTACTTAATTTGAACGAGTATTGGAACTAAATGTTCGACTCTTGGAGAAAATGTTTAGTTGGGTAGCTTGATCTGCTGGGTCGGTGTGCATTGGAAGATGTACTCACGCGGGTGAAGCATTGGAGCGTGTTTCTTTGTGAGAGCGCTCGACCAGCTAGTAGGGCATGCTTCTTTATGAGAGTGCCTAAATAGCTGGGTTGGTGTACATTGGGGCCGTTTGCTATGTGGAATGGGATGGAACAGAGTGGGATGAGGCATTTCGTCTCACGTTTGGTGCGTCTAAAACGGATGGAATGCGTTGTTCCACGGGATGAATTTTGGGTAAATTTTCGTTCCGCCTCATTCCCTGGAACGACTTGTTCCACATCCGTGGAACACAAAATTATAACCTCTCCGTTTCCTTCTTCTTCCTCCTTGTTTCCATCCAAGGGCATCTTTACTCCCTCTCCATTCTGTCATGTCCTATCCCGTCCCGTCTACATACTAAACGATACCTGGAAGTTTACTTACATGAGCCTAGATGGCACCAAATACAACAAGGCTTGTTTCTTTGTGACTTGTGAGAGTGCATGACCAATATGGATAATCAAGCTGCTCTACTTAAATTTTTCTCATGGTTTATGACTTTCATTGCGTTTACCAGCGCATATGAAATAAAAAAGTTTGTAAGTTTCACAATGCAATCCACATTCAATACAAGAATAATGATGAATTAGAATGATTACAGAGTAGTCAATGCTCAATTATTACCTTTTTCATTTTTTTTGACAATCTTTTGATTTCAAGTAAATAAAAATGTCAGTGATGTCACTATTTTTCTTTCCATAATCCATTCATTTATTCATTTGCTATGAAATTAAAGGCATGACTATTTCATTGAACCACTTACCATTTTATCTTAATCTCGTATGTTTACTTCCCATGTCCGGCCAAACAGAAAGGATTACTTACCTTAACCATGATGTGAATGTCCTTAATTCACACAAAGCTTCTAGTATTTACTTTACTAATTATGCTTTGCCCTTTTGGGTGGAGGGTGACAGAATCTATTGGTCCACTCGCATCCCCCTAGAAGCTCGCATATTACAGGACATGATCCAACGGATTTGGTGAATCGCTGTCGACCCAAACGCAAACAAACTCACAACTCTTCCGGTCAAGTTAGGAACACAACTTTCAATGTCCTTCGCTCCTTTTTTTTTTTTTTCTTTTCTAAAGAGACTAGTTGGTGGCTCTATCACGACAATTCACTATTTGGGAGCTAGGAAGGCTCACATAAATATTTTAGCATTCCCTGACTACTATTGTGTGAGTCACCAACGCTCAGAATCGAACTCATAACATGTTATGTGGAATACGGACCTGAAACTGGAATGGCGTAGTAGTCAATACATACGTGAGTTATGTCAGTTACATCAAAGTTCGAAATTCGTAAATTATGATACTTTAGAATTTTGTATTATCTAATGACAAAAAGGGGCTAAACCCAAAAATTTGGAATAAACTCAAGTATATTGATTAACAAATACTTCCTAATGTAATGCTTCAACTAAAAGCTCATACAAATTTAGCTTGTTTTCTTCACAATTAAATAGGATGGTGCAATCCACATTACCTTTTTTACTTTTCACACATTTTTTTAATTTTCGACTCTCGGATCAATGAATCAAGAGGATCCAAAGACAAAAATTAACAAAAAATACGTGAGAGATAAACAAAGGTATGTGGATAGCACCATCATTTATTTACTGGCTTTACTACAATTGTACATAGTTATTCTGCGTGTCATGCCTCATGCTCATGCTGATGAGCATAAACGTCCACCTTGGGAATTACGTGCATGGCTAAAAGTGCTTCACAAGATTAAAATAAAAAAATTAATGAAAAAAGATTGAAAACTTTGAGTTTTAACGATAAAGACAAAATAAAAGGTAAAGTGAATAGTACCAAGATTGACTTTTTAGTATAAAAATATGGTTTTTTGTTAAAATGAACAATACAAAAAGCTTTACGTTAAAGTTCCCTAAAAAAAACGTATCCGACAACATTTGACATAAAAAGTTAAAAATATTTATGCGTGTTTGTGTTATGTTGCATGAGTATTCAATGTGTTTCTAATAAAAGCGATCGTGGGTTTTCTACGTAAACATTCTCAAATGGAAGACCTAGTTGCCTTTTTATTTTGCATGGTAGATGCATGGACGTATTTTGTTAGTTTCATTATATGCGCACTCTCTTTTCTCTCTCCATGCAATCATTATTTATTTATACAACTTTTAAATTGAATAAATCAAATAAAAATCAAGATAAGAAGTGCTAAAAACATTAACGTTTAAGGCTAATAATAACAGGCTAAAATCCATTTCATATAATTTGACCAATTAGTAAGATCTCAAAAGTTACTTCAAATCTTCAATACAAAGGAGTAAAACTTAAAAAGAAAGATAATTAAGGGCTTGTTTAGAAGTGCATTTTAAGCACTTTTAGTAAAAATATTTTTAAATCAATCCTTAGTGAAAATG